CCAGAAAACCGGAAGTGGTGCTGTAGCTCAAGTGGTAGAGCGCTTGCCTTGAGCTGAAGAGCTGAGGGACAGAGCCCAGGCCCAGAGTTCAAGCCCCACGACCGACAAAAAAAAAAAAAAAACACGAAAAAAAAGAAAATGCATGGCATCTTCTCAATCCTGAAGAAAAACCCCACCCAACCCAACAATAATAGCAACTGAAAGTTATTGAAGTTTTCTGTATTTTTTTAAAAATTAGGTTTTCATTAACACTTAAAATCACAAAGAGAAGTAAGACTTGTAATGTTTGTTTCCTTTGCTAAACAAACAGTGCATGTCTTGGTGCTGATATTTGAGGGCATATTTTGTTTTACTGGAATATGAGTGTTTACATAAAAGCTAAAGTATAAAGTAGACTTCTGAACAAGAACATATACAGGAAGATGCAGATGTTCAGAGATGAGAAAACCATATAGTTAAAAGGAGGAATGGGAGAAAGTTTTTGTCAAAAAGTAGTAGAGTTATGCTCATCTTGTCAGGTTTCTTGAATTCCACTGCTTGTGAACATTGTGTACTCATTTCTAGTTTTAAATAGGTGCTTATAGTTTGTTCCTTGTGGCATAGTTAATTTATCTGGTAAATAAAAAACTTTTCAGCTTAAGTTCCTTTACTTGTATTTAGACATTTCAACAAGATTCAAGATTTTAATGACACTTTCTATCGACGTAAGTTGTTCATTGAAATTAAATTCCCCCAAATCTTCAGTTTTTTTAATTTGGTTATTTCTTTAGTTAATTTCCTTCCTTGGTGTTGGCTGTTTAGCTAGCTTGTTAAATGAATGTTTTAATCGTTATTTGATGTCACTAGATACATTTTCCTGATCATTTGAATAAAAATCACTCAAGGATTAGGAGAAGAAAGGAGGAGATGGAAGGAGAGAAAGCAGGAAGGGAGGAGGAGAAAATATTTGTTGGAACTGTTAGAAAATGTTTCTAGGAAAAAGTGAGATTTTTGTACAACTGCTTTTATTGGAATTAGTTAGCTTTTGTTTTTTAGAATAGCTTTAGATCTACTCAAAAGCTGAATGGCAAGTAGGGACCTCTGGAACTCTCCATCCCTTTACACAACAGCTCCGTTCCCTATCAGCATGTCATACCACGTTGGTATGTTTATTGAAGTCAGTGAGTCTGCATTCATACATAATTATGCAAGTGCAATTTCTGTCCTAGCAGTACTGGGATTTGAACTCAAAGCCTTGGAATATCTAGGTAGGAGCTCTTACCATTTGAACCATGGACCCATCTCTTTTTCTTCTTCAGTTATTTTTCTAATAGAATCTGGCCTTGTTTGTCCATGCTAGCCTGATGACACTCCTTCTATTTATATTTTTCTCATAGTTGGGATGACAGACCTACACCATCATGCGCATTGTTTTTATTGGTTGAGATGAGCTTTCGTGTTGTTGTTGTTGTTGTTTTTTGCCCTTACTGGCCTTGAACTGCAACCTTCCTGATCTCTACATTCTGAATACTTAAGATGAAAGGTTTGAGCTAGTGTGCCTGATTTGGAAGTGCATTTATTTATTCATTTATTAATTTGTTTATGCAGGTACTAGGGGTTGAACTAGTCAGTAAGGTTAATCCTCTACCACTTGAGCTATGTTTTTGTTTCTGTTTTTTTGGCTTGTTAATTGGACATAAGAGTTTCTAAGATTTGCCTGCTAGAGGTACATTTTGAAAAACTAGACATTAAAATTAGGAACATATGTTAAGAATTGTTTGTATATTTCTTTCAATCCCACAACTCAGAAGACTAAGACAGGGAAGATTGAGGATTTGAGGCAAATTGGGGCCCTATAATAAGACTCTGACCTTTAAAAAAAGACTCAAAACCCTAAAACTAAAACTTAAACTTGGATTTTTTTTTTCTTGTAGAATTTCATATTATTGTGTGTGGATTGGACTCTATCATAGCCAGACGATGGATAAACGGCATGCTGGTAAAGACTTCAGTGTCATGCTTCGCTCACATCCTTGCTGAAGCTCTAAACATACCATAGTTTAGAATGTTGTAGCATAGTTTTGAAAAATCAGAGTTCACTTAATTTTAAATTATTTTGATGCATCTGTTTATTTCTAGTTATCTTTTAAGTTTTTGATTTTGTATATTAGTACTCAGTAGTCCAGCTGATTCATAGGGGTTTGTTAGAAGTTTTTTTTTTTTAGCTCTTATTCTTTTAAATACTCAAAACCTTTTCCTAGATATCTCTGCTAAATTATGAAGATGGTGTGTTAGATCCAAGCTCCATTGTCCCTTTGATAGATGGGGGGACAGAAGGTTTTAAAGGAAATGCTCGGGTGATTTTGCCTGGGATGACTGCTTGCATTGAGTGTACACTGGAACTTTATCCACCACAGGTAATCAAAAAGTACCTGTATTTCTTTTATAGTATTTTGTGTTGGAATTACAGCTGAATTATTTAGTTTAATCAATGTGTAAAATATTTTAAATTATTCCTTTTTTGTGTTTGTGTCAATACTGGGGCCTGAACTCAGGATCTTGCTCTTGCTTAGTTTTTCCACCCAAGGTTCATGCTCTGTCTCTTGAGCTACACCTCTGCTTCGGCTTTTTGCTGGTTAATTGGAGATAAGAGTCTCTTGGAGGAAGTGGCGCTGTAGTTCAAGTGGTAGAGCGCTAACCTTGAGCTGAAGAGCGCAGGGACAGCGCTTAGGCCCAGAGTTCAAGCCCCACGACCGACCAAAAAAAAAAAAGAGTCTCTTGAATTTGTCTGCTTAGGCTGGTTTCAGACTGTGAACCTCAGATTTCAGCTTTCTGAGGGGCTAAGATTATAGGCAGGAGCCACTCCTACCTGTCTATATTAATAATTCTAAGGGCTGGTGGTGTAGCTCAGTAGTAGAGCTGCCTCCTTAATAGTCTCCTACCACACAAGAGTAGTGATACTGGCAGTTTGGATATACCAAAGAGACACTTAACTTCAAATTGTTAACTTTAAGTGAAAAGGTAAAAATTCTTGATTGAATAAGGAAGGAGAAATGTTTTTTAAAGTTGTCAAAGTATATATAACTATAATATTTTGAGAGAAACCAGTCATAATTTTTTATTATAGTATATTGTTACAGTTGTTCTTTTCTATCATTTTGGTTAATATTTTACTGTGGCTAAATTGTATATAAAGCTATCTTAGTATAAAATATGAATAGGAAAGAATATAGTATATACAAAGTTGGTTATCATATGTAGTTTCAAGCATCTGTTGGGGTTTTGCAACAGAAAAGGAAGGAAGGGAGGGAGGGAGGGAGGACTGGACAGGACATATTTCAGAGAAATAAAAACAGTGGGGGATGAGATCCTCTTCCCAAAGTTGGAGTTCTTTAATGTTTATGCCTTCTTTAAAGGACGGTTAAATTTTTGACTTGTAAATATAATTTTGTATGAATTATACTTAAAATTGACTTAATTCTGAATACTTTTTTTTTTCTTTTTTTTCTTTGGGGGTCCAGTCGTGGGGCCTGAACTCTGGGCCTGGGCGCTGTTCCTCAGCTCTTTAGCTCAAGGCTAGCACTCTACCACTTAAGCCACAGCGCCACTTCCCGCTTTTTTCTTTTTTCTTGGTGCTGAGGAATTGAACCCAGGGCCTCATGCATGCAAGGCAAGCTCTCTACCACTGAGCCACCTTCCCAGCCCCCCGTTTTCATTTTTTAATACCTTCGCATTTAAATACCAGGCAACAAGTTATTCACATTGCGAATCTGTTCAGCACTTTTTGTTTTTAAGGTTTAGCAAGGATTGAATTTAGTGTAAAATAGGATAAAATAGGAAGAAAAGTAGAAGAGAAATAGTTCTTGTTCCCCATGCATAGAATGGAACTTAGAGACTTGATTCAGCACTTTTATTCTTGTGGTCTAGCAAAGCTTAAACTTATATACTTTAAAAATGTAAGGCAGACATATCTTTACAGGCAAACCACTCTGAAATGACTCAGATGACCTTGTTAGTTTCAGTGGTGTTGCTAATTGTTTACCGAGTTTCCTTTATGGCTAAGGAGGGCTATTGTAAAGGAGGGCTGAGCTCAGTTATTGGAAACTGTTACAAACTGAATTAAACTGGAAGTTGCATTGTTTGAAACTCACTAAAAAAGACAAACTGTGGTTTCAGGTTAATTTCCCCATGTGCACCATTGCATCCATGCCCAGGCTGCCAGAACACTGCATTGAGTATGCAAGGGTGTTGCAGTGGCCTAAAGAGCAGCCTTTTGGAGGTAATACGCCTAATTTAATAAATTTAATCATCCACCATTGCATAAAATATGTATTTTTCTGTGTTATTCATTGGGGTTATTGTATTAAAAAGAAAAGTCACATCTTCCTCTCTTTTTTATTTTCCTCCCAACAGATGGGGTTCCATTGGATGGCGATGATCCTGAGCATATTCAGTGGATTTTCCAAAAATCTCTAGAGAGAGCATCACAATATAATATTAGAGGTGTTACCTATAGACTCACTCAAGGTGAGTTAGTAAACTGTCAGGAATTTGGGAACATCCCAGTGTTTTAGGTTTTGGGGAGAATTTATTTTTTTTTGTCGGTCGTGGGGCTTGAACTCAGCGCCTGTGCACTGTCCCTGTGCTCTTATGCTCAAGGCAAGCGCTCTACTGCTTGAGCCACAGCACCACTTCAGGTTTTCTAGTGGCTTATTAGAGATAAGAGTCCCACGGACTTTCCTGCCCTGGCTGGCTTTGAACTGAGATCCTCAGATCTCAGCCTCCTGAATAGCTAAGATTACAGGCATGAGCCACCAGCACCAGCTGAGAATTTTTTTTTTTTCTGTTAGTCATGGGGCTTGAACTAAGGGCCTAGACACTGTCCCTGAGCTTTTTTGCTTCTGACTAGTGCTTTACCTCTTTGAGCCACAGTGCCACTTCCGGTTTTTTGAAGGTTAATTTGAAATAAGAGTCTCACATACTTTCCTGTCAGGGTTGGCTTCGAACTGAGATCCTCAGTTCTCAGCCTCCTGAATAGTGAGGATTACAGGCCGCGAGCCACCAGTGCCTGGCAACTAGGGGAATTGTTGATAAATGATTTTGGGCAATGCCATCTACTGGAGGTTCAGTAAAGGTACTATGGAAACAATAGTTTACAGATTACCTGAAGGTGTGGGAACCAAGTTCTGCAGAACCCATCCTCCTCAGCTCAGGGAAATTTCATAAAATCATTGACTTTTACTTAGGATTGGTAGAGGCCCTAAACTATCCCATTGAAACCTTCTGTGTTATCTCTGAAGAGAAATTCATTGCCTCTTGGCAGCAGTCTCTCACTTTTGCACAAGACTTGTTAGGCAATTTTTGTATATATCAAGTAAAAATGTCTAGCCCTGGTTTGATTTGATTTTTGTCCCATTACCATATGTAATCTAATTTCTTTTTCAGTGATGGATTTGACAATATTAAACACAGTGATCATATTCTCTTCACATTTTTATCAATGCCTTAATAGACAATAGTATAGCATTCTGAACTTCGTCTTCTTTCAGATCTGATACAGACTTAAAAGGAGACAGGGTTATTTTTGTTGTTGTTATTGCTTGCTGTTTACATTGAGACTATACTTCCAATTCTTTGATAATACTGTGCAGTAAAATCTAGACCTTTTTCCCACCTGGTGCAATTTCTGTGCAATTTCTCCCTTGTTATGTTTTTTACAGAAAGTTTCTCTTCCTAGTCATTGCCTAGTGGCACCTTATCATGGTTCTTTCTCCAGAAGGAGGCCTTCCTGAGCAAGCCTAGTTAATGGACTGTACTACCATTGTTCCTCTAACCACATATCTTAACATTTTCTTTTTTTAAATTTTTTTATTTTTAAGGAGTTGTATAAAGGATTACAATTTTGTAAGTCAGATTTTGAATACAGTGCTTCTTGGGCATTTCCATTCACTTTTCACATTTCATTCATTCATTTTCTTTCACTTTCTCCCATTTCCTCCCCCCCTCCCCTGCCTACCCAAGTTACATAGTTCATTAAAAAAATTTATTTTTGTTATTATAAAGGTGATATGTAGAGGAGTTACAGTAACATTAGTTAGGTAGTAACAACATTTCTTTTTGGACAGTGTCCCAGATTTCCTTGCTTTCTCTTGTTTTTCCCTCTGTTCCCCACCCACAAGTTCATTTTTTTTTTAACATAGTGTGTATTTAATGTAATAACTGCATTTGCTCACCCTTCTGTTTCTTTCTTCTGTTCCTCTTTGTCCATGCCCCCCTAAAAGACAAAATCAAAACAAAATAAAAAACAAAAAAAGAAGTGGCACTGTGGCTCAACTGATAGGGTGCTAGCCTTGTGCTGAAGAGCCCAGGGACAGCACCCAGGCCCAGAGTTCAAGCCCCACAACTGGGAAAAGAAAGAAAGAAAAAGAAAGAAGGAGCCGGGCGCTGGTGGCTCACGCCTGTAATCCTAGCTACTCAGGAGGCTGAGATCTGAGGATCGCGGTTCAAAGCCAGCCCGGGCAGGAGAGACTGTGAGACTCCTATCTCCAATAAACCACCAGAAAACCGGAAGGGGCACTGTAGCTCAAGTGGTAGAGCACTCGCCTTGAGCTGAAGAGCTGAGGGACAGTGCCCAGGCCCAGAGTTCAAGCCCCACGACCAACAAAAAAAAAAGAAGGGAACAAAGAAAAAGAAAGAAAGAGAAAGGAAAGAAGAAAGAAAGGGAAAGAAAGAAAGAAACACAGAAAGAAAGAAACAAAGAAAAAATATATATAAAGAAACTAAACAAAACAATATAAAAGAAAACCATGTTTCCATTTCTTGGAATTCATTGGTTGTATTTTAGATCTAGCTTCCACATATGAGAGCAAACGTACCTTTTCTCTTTGAGCTTGGCTTTACTTCACTTAACATGATTTGTTTTAGGTCCATCCATTTCCCTGCAAATGATAAATTATTTTTTCTTTTTGGTCCTAGACCAGGACTATCTGATGCAGCCTTTCATTCATTCATTGGCTGGTGCTCTATCACCTGATTTTTCTGATGGATGAATTAAATTCCATGTGTACATTACCACATTAAAAAAAATCAACTCATCTTTTGTAGGGCATCTTGTCTGTTTCCATAACTTGGCTATTGTGAATAGTGCAACAATTAACACGGATATGCAAATGTCTTTACCATATCCTTCCTGACTTACAATGTACTGGGTAGATATCCAAGAGTGCTATGGCTGGATCATAGGCAAGTTCTATGGTTTGTTACTTTTCTATTCTTCTTCTGAGAAGTCTCTATTTAGTTCCTTTGCCAATTTATTGATTGGTTTATTCATTTAGGGGGTATTCATTTTTTGAGCTCCTTGGATATTAGGGCTTTGCTGGATGTTTGGCTGGTAAAGATCTTTTCCCAGTCTGTTGGTTGTCTTTCTAACTTTGTAATTATGTTCTTTGCTGTGCTAATTCTCCTATCTTCTATGCCCTTGAGACTTTTCAGAAAGTTCCTACCTATATAAGTGCTAATATTTCTCCTATTCCATCTTGCAGTAGTTTCAGAGTTTCAGGTCTGATACTCAGATCTTTGATCCATTTTGAGTTAATATTGATACATGGTGACAAACAGGGATCCAATTTTAGTTTTCTACATATGGATGTCCAGTTTTTCCAATACCATTGAAGAGAGTATTTTTTTTCCAACTTACAGTTTTTGCTCCTTTATTGACTATCTGATAGCTACAAGTGTATGGGTTTATTTCTAGGTCTGTTTTCATGCCAGTTAGCAAGCTGCCTTTTTGTTGTTGTTGTTGGTTTTTCATTTTCTTAATACAATCCTTCAGTATCTGAGATTTTCTGATGTGTTCATTTGTTAGCTCCCCTATCAAATGGAAAGCTCTGTAAGAGTTCATACTTTTCTCCACAGGTACTGTCCATAACACTTAGAAAAGTATCTGACACACAGTATACATTTTAAATCATTAGGAGAGCTACAAATTCATTTCAATACGAAGTGTCCTTCATTCTTTCACACCTTTTACTTGAGCTAAGTAAATACTTTTTAGCATCATGGTTGAGTGTTTCGACAGAGTGTACAGAAATAAAATTGGAAGTGAACTAGTCCAAGTAGTGCTTGGACTGCTTTTCTGTGTAACAGAAACGTGGTTGTTTTTTTTTTTTTGTTGTTGTTGTTCTTTTTTTTTCTTTCTGTCCATTGAAGCTCTTGCTGCAGAAGATGAGAAAGGAGTAGGTTCCTTTTGCAGTGCTCTTATTGGGTAATGTCTTTTCCTGGGTTTCTCTCAGTTTGTGGCTACCTGTTCCTTCTTTCAGTGCACCAGGCTGCATATGGTTTAGTGGTGAGCTTCTAGTTTAGTCATCATGGATTCGTTCTTTGTATCCCTCTAACATTAGAATCGTCTCACCAAAAAGAAATTTATTTATTTTTTTGTGGGCTGTGGGGCCTGAACTCTGGGCCTGGGCACTGTCCCTCAGCTCTTCAGCTCAAGGCTAGCGCTCTACTACTCAATCCATAGCACCACTTCCGGCTTTTTCTGCTTATGTGGTGCTGAGGAATTGAACCCAGGGCCTCATGCATGCAAGGCAAGCACTCTACTACTGAACTACCTTCCCAGCCCCAAAAATGAACTTTAAAAAAAAGCTTAACTTTCTTTGCTGTCTGTCTATCCTGTTGTTTTAGAGTCTTATCCTTTGCCTGGAGTTTGGAGGAATACATTCCATCCTGTAATGCTTCCTTATACTTCAAGATAAAGTTACTTATTTCTAAAATGACCATTTCAGATACAGCTAAAGAATGGAATTTTTATTTTGAATTTAAGGTTTCAGGTTGGGGTTTGCTCATTCCTTTTAGGTGAATGCTGAAGTCAAATATTCGGTGTTAAAGTGGAGATCCATTTGTAGTGTTTTGTAAGGCAGCCTAGAATTAAAGATGCTTTATCAAGGACAGTTCTTGTTTGTTCTGAGAGTTTGTGAATTGAATAGCTAGGATTATTATATGAGGAAAAGTTATGTAGCTTAATTATATTTTACTCAAACTTTTCTTTTTTCTTTTTTTTGTTGGTCGTGAGGCTTGAACTCTGGGCCTGGGCACTGTCCCTCAGCTCTTCAGCTCAAAGCAAGCGCTCTACCACTTGAGCCACAGTGCCAGTTCAAAAGAGTCTCACAGCCTTTCCTGCCTGGGCTGGCTTTGCACTGGGATCCTTAGATCTCAGCCTCCTGAGTAGCTAGGATTACAGGCGTGAGCCATTGGCGCCTGGCTTACTCAAACTTTTCTGAGTGTAACATAATGTAGTAATTAAGACTGTGTACTGTGGGGCATATTTTGTTCATATACTTACCCCACCATTTACTAGGTATACTATGCGTGTGATATTTAATTTCTATCAGCCTTTTTGTACTTACCTTTAAAATTCAAGTAGCATAATAGCATATGGATGTTATAAAAATTAAATAACTTAATTATCACAATATCTGGAATGTAATAAGCACTTGTTATTGTCATGGTACTGTTTTGCCTTTATGTAAAATGTACTTGAGAATTTATTTTTCTTTGCTAACATAGCTTAAAATTCTAAGCATGCTACAATGTGAAAGAACATAGTTTTTGGGTTTGGTTTGGTTGGCTTGGTTTTAAGAGGTATGGTTTTGCTGTATAGTCAAGACTGGCCTTGAATTGTGATCCTCCCGCCAGGGCTCTCAAGTGCTTGATTATAGGCATGTTTCATCATGTTTGGATATGCTAAATTTATTTTTTGGCTTGAGAGCCTGAATAATTGAATTTCAAGAAATGGTATTTAATAATCATAGTGATTAAGGTAAATTTTTTTAGAGAAATGATATTTTAATTGATGATAACTTTTTTTAGGAGTAGTAAAACGAATAATTCCTGCAGTAGCTTCCACGAATGCAGTCATTGCAGGTAAGGAAAATGACCATCTCTTTTTTTAACTAATCTTTCAACTCAGTATAAGTGATTCTTTAATCTGACAAAGAGTATGGAAAACATGTATTGCTTGGGAGAACTCAATAGAAAATTGGTTAATTTTTCATTTCTTAAAATTGCCCCAAATACAACCTCCCATTTAAACACACACTGAAGCTTATATATGATTTAGTTGAATAACATATGGTATATACAGGAGTGAATCTTCATAGAGTAGAACTTTCAAAACATTTAACAGACTGTTTAACAAAATGAATATCAGGAAGCTGAAATGAGAATGTAAGGGGGTGGGAGATAGACAAGAACATGGGACAGATACATCTAGAACCTTCAGTGTATGTATGTGATAAAGGGTGGAAATGTGAAATGAGTCCACGAGGAAGGAAAAGATGGGATGGGGGGAGATTGGTGGAAGGGGGTGATTGATCAAGAGGCACTGATTTTCATTGAGTTAAATGAAGCACCTTTATTTTCTCCCCTCTTTAGCTGTGTGTGCCACTGAGGTTTTTAAAATAGCCACAAGGTAATAGTTTACATTTTTAATAAGTAAATCCATGATTTGACCAGGCTCAGTTACATAACTGTGAACTTTCTTTTCATTTTAGTGCATACATTCCCCTTAATAATTACTTGGTATTCAATGATGTAGACGGGCTGTATACATACACATTTGAAGCAGAGAGAAAGGTTAGTAGTATTAAATTAATGAAAAGGTTTTGGTTATGTATTCTTTTAAAATATCAAGTATTAGTCAGAATTAAAATAGAATTACCCACATTATAAGCATTTTATTTTCTAACTATATTTACCTAGTCTGCCTACTTACTAGATATCTTTTGTTGGATAGACTAAAATACTCTATAGCAAAATGATTTAGAAGAAATGATCTGTTATGAAAATAGATTTGAAGCATGAAAATTTTTTTTATAGGAGATAGGCATGATTATGAAACAATGTGATTTCTACTTCTTTTTTATAAAGAGACTAGTATTGGTTCGTGTATCTCTACAATTTGTTGTGTTTTATATATGCAGGAAAACTGTCCAGCTTGTAGTCAGCTTCCTCAAAATATTCAGTTTTCTCCATCAGCCAAACTACAAGAGGTTTTGGATTATCTAACAAATAGTGCTTCTCTGTAAGTATTTTGGATTTTTGTTATATTGTGGGGGAAAAAACCCAAAATAATTTGGACAATATTTGATTGCTTTTTTTCTTTTGATTATATTTAGGCAGATGAAATCTCCAGCTATCACAGCCACATTAGAGGGGAAAAATAGAACACTTTACTTACAGGTGATCAGCGTTCATTTTTAATTTTTTCAGGAAGCCATGAATAGTGTAATTGATTTTAATGTAGCTTTTACCTTAACATCATTTTGTTTTCTAGTCAGTGACTTCTATTGAAGAACGAACAAGGCCAAATCTTTCTAAGACATTGAAAGGTATTTTAAGTAAATATACATATAAAATGTTCTTTTTGGTAAAATAGCAAATGTTTATTTTAGGTTTGCTTTTAATACATTGATCAGATATAATTACTTATGTGTAGATATCATAATAAAATTGCTGTTGTGAAAAAAAAAACCTCTTAAGAAATTGCATACTTGGACCATAAAACTTCATAATTTGTGTATATGTATTATACATTTCATTGAGATATATTTGCTTGGTTAATTATACTCTTTTCTATTTTAGAATTAGGACTTGTTGATGGACAAGAACTGGCGGTTGCTGATGTCACCACACCACAGACTGTTCTGTTCAAACTTCATTTTACTTCTTAAGAAACATAAATCTGCACATAATAGAAAACTCATAGAAATAATATTACTTCATGGAAGCTAAAGAATTAAAGGGTGGGGAAGGTGGGGTGAAGGGAAGTTCCCCTCAAAATATGTCATTTTTAACATTAGTTTTGCTGGAATTTCATATATATATGTATATATATATACACACACACACACACACATCTATATATATATATATACATATATAGTGAGTGACATTTTTTTTTTTAACTTTATAATGTCATTTGAGGACAGAATGTTGGGGCTGGTGCTTGTAAACATTGTCATTATTGATACCAGAAACGATGCCTGCAGAGATTATGAGCAAATGTATTGTTTCTTTTAGAGAAGGGGGTAGATACTCTTATTTTATGTGGATTTTCTTATGGTCAAAGAACGCATTCCTCATATGAGCAGCTTCATGTAAAACATATCTGTGTCCTGTAATAGAAATAAGAAATTAGGTTTTCAAATACATTAAATACTATACCCTCACATCTAGAGTATATCTTACCATAGGCTATTTCTTGATTTAATATACACTTAATTGTGGTTGCCCAAAGTGTAAATTAATTATTGCAGAGTTTATCTTATCTGTAATGATTTGTAAACAGTATTATAGCTGAGTATCTGTTCCTGAAAATAGGAAATATTTTCATGTGTTTCTTTGCAGTGCCATAGAGGCCAATATGCACAAATTTAAGCCAAGGCATGGCTGTTTAAAAATTTAATATTTAAACAGTTATTGTTGATGCTTTTGCACTATTTATTAATAAAATTATACATTGTCTACTTTTTCTTATTGAACAGATTTTTGAAGTATGTTAAGGATGGTTCCATGGTAAAGTAGAAGTATTTTTAAGTGCTGAGTAGAGTTACTATCACCAACTTTTTATTGAACCCAAATACAGTACTTTTGCTATAGTTGTTTTCCACAGGTTTATTTCCTAATGGAATGTAATTAATGTAATTATGTTAGGTCTCTTAACATGACCGTTTCTTTGAGATGACTAAAACCAAAATTAAGCAGAGATAGTAAAAAAAAAAAAATTCCCGGGTAGCCGGGTAGTTTCTTAATGCAGGAACATGTATATGTTCCCCCCCACCTTTTTTTAAAAACTTAACTATGAGTTAATTTTAAATTAACTATGAGTTAATTTTTTCCCTTTCAACATTTTTATGGAGGAGGCTGAGATTTGAAGGATTGTGGTTTGAGGCCAGCCTGAGCAGGAAAATTTAGTAGGCTCTATCCAAAATAAAGAGTAGCAGCTGTGGTTCAAGTGAAAGAGCACTAGGCTACAAGCTAGGAGGTCCTGAACAAACTCTAGTACCTCAAAAAAATTTTGTTTGGTGGTAATTTTTCTTTTTTTTTGGCGGGGGTGGGGGTGGAGGGTGGGGCTTGAACTTTGGGCCTGAGCACTGTCTCAACTCTTCAGCTCAAGGCAAGTTGGTGCTCTACCAACTTGAGCCACAATGCCTTTTCTGGTTTTCTGGTGATTCATGGGTGATAATCTTATTGACTTTCCTGCCCAGGCTGGATAACAGGTGTGAGCCATGGTGTGTTTTCCTTCTTTCCTTTTTCCTGTTGATAGCCTCCTGAATGCTAAACAACTTTTTACCCCTCAAGGTATACCCTCAATCCAATTTATTAATCTTGCTACTTGGGTGTTAACAAGTCATGTTTTATTTTTATTTTATTTTTTTAATTTATTTTTTGGGGGGCCTGAACTCTGGGCCTGGGCGCTGTCCCTCAGCTCTTCAGCTCAAGGCTAGCGCTCTACCACTTGAGCCACAGCGCCACTTCCGGCTTTT